TACCGAGAGCATCGTTTTGCATTGTAACGTTCTTATATAGAGCCCGACCGTTATTCCTTACTCTGGCCCGCATCAACGTATTACCGCTCAAAATGCACTCACCGGTGCGGTGTGTTGCTACCTCCGTAGTTGATGAGTCATTTTCAGATATCGCCTTTTTCATTTTTTTTAATATTTTTTTTTTCGCACTTACTGACGAGATTTCTGCATTATTCTCTGACGGACACTGCAGTTTTTTTTTGTCCGAGATTTGAACGAGCCAATTTAAAAAGAAAATTTGTTTTGGACTCATTAGATGGCTCTACTCTTTGCCGGGGTATGTGTCGAAGGCAATTAGTCAAATTAGGCATTTTATCCAATGCCTAGGCCGATAGGCAAACTTTGACACTTTACGGAATTCTGCACATTAATGGCGAGGGGTTCACGGGTTTTCAATATTTTGGGAAGAATGACTCTTCGAATCCGTGAACTCTCATTTTTCTTCCCCTTTTACTTGCCTTTAGTACATGTAAATGTTAAAATTTTAAAAATTCTATGTTTTATTACGTGCTGAATATTTTATGAGAAATATGCATCCAGGATCTTAAAATCGCTTAAAATACTATTGTATGCTGCATATTTTTACAGAGAATTCTTTCTCTCAGGAGTGACTAATCATTTGGTCTAAAATTAGGTTAAAAAATCAAAATTTCAATCCAAGTAAGAATATTTGACTGTTTGCCTAGGCATGACTATTTGCCTTCGACATATGTATAGTCAGTATAAGTCCCTTTTACGGCGCGCTAGGACGCTCTGCGACGCCTACCCACCACAGGAATCGGTTATGGTAGAGATCCTCTAGAAGCTGTTCAGCTTCATCTTTTTGCCTACAGGTTGTCAATCGTCCTGCTAGGTTATGGGGCATTTCGTCAACGATTTTTTGTCCGCGCACCTGTTTTTTCCAGTAATTTACGTCCACGCGTTTTTTCGGCACGGGAGTTTTGGTCCACGTGCCAGTTGAGACCCAAAGTTAATTGGCCCACTAGTAAATACAAACGACAATTGCTCACGACGTTTTTTGATGAAAATATATACTGTCTTGGAAGAATGAGGGTTTGCTTGTTTTTTTTGTTTTGTCTGTTTGGTCCAGTGGAGAATAATATATAGTTGATAGTTTTGGTAAAAATGGGGGAGCGTCAATTCCATGAGACAAAATTCACTAAAGCTCTCTACACCTCTTCAATCTTGATTATTGTCTTGATTAATTTTGCGAGGAAAGATCTGTACTTTTAAAGGATGCCTGTCATTCTCGTATAATACTGTGCAACACCTCTGTTGTGAAATAGTTGCTTCAGGCGCCGCCGCACGGCGGGCGGGAGGCCAGCGCGAAAAGCGCATTGGCGCCTACAAACCTAAGTGGATACCTCAAGCATTGTGCAATGCGTGAAGTATCCACTTAGGTTTGTAGGCGCCAGCGAGCCTCTCGCGCTGGCAGCACGCCGCTCCGCTCGGTTAGGCTTTAATATTTATACTCGCATAGTCAGCGTTTTTTAACTCATGATTTTGAAATTTTAGCACACTCTGCATTGATTACTCTCACTTAAATTGATGGGGAAAAATATGTATCAATTTATCAAAGGAGAATAATAATGTAATGTGGGTTTTTTTAAATATTGGTGGTTCCGTGTCAAATGTAATGATTTCCAAAGCACTATAATTTTTTCTTTTACATTTTTTGCTTTTATTGTGCTGCAGCGAGGTGTACGCGCAACGAAACGCTCAAAATTTGACGTATTTGACTCTATAAGATCGATGTATAAATGTATAAATATTCTCTTGCTGTGTCTAAAAGGATTTCTTCCGTGTTTTGATCTTCAAAGTATGAAAATTCCAAGGAAAAATATTCATAACTTTCTTCAAAAATAAATATATTCTGGGAGGAAATTTGGCAACATCCGGATACTCCTACGGCGTTTTTACGCAGCACGAGGGCGAGAGCTAAGCAGATTACATCGAGCGCCTGAATGAATTGGACATTGCTAGAGTTCGGATTAACAGTTCACGATCTCTACCGAGGATTTTTGGCGTTCCAGCAACCCCTTCTCGGCAAAGCTAATCTCAGTCCGTCGAGAAAATTGGAATAACTCACAGCGTAAATAAAAGCGTTAACTGTTTTGAGAAACCACTCAGTCGTAAACTTGCCCGTCCCGATCCTTTTTCTATTTGTGATGCTGTGCTACCTACAATGTCCGTGAAGTTTGTTTTACTCGCAGTTCTTCCAATAATTGTTCAGTTCGCCGTTTGCTCGCCGAAAAGTGAAATATGGGGCGGGTCGAGAGCTCGTCGTGATCATGGCCACCCTTACCAGAACTATTCAGATTTCGAAAATCGACACACGGATGATTTTCTCTGGGCCAAAGACATTCCCGGTGACCCGGAAGTCCAAAAAGTGTTCGAAGCGTATTACGCATGTATCGATGGCTACCTCTACGAGTTCGATAAGCTCGGAAGCCGGAGGAGCGGGGAGCTTTTTCACGACCCTGAGTATCGAGTCGACGACGCGCTCAAATGTTTCAATTGTTTAGCGATTTCGGTGATTCTTCGGGCTCCTATCGTCGGCCTTGTATTCGGTGCATGGTGCAGGCCGAACGATTACTCCGTCCCGATAAAGAACTATCGCGGACGAAGCACCGTGAGCGAAAAAGAACTGAGCAGAAGGTTCATAACGGCGAAAGCGGCGGTCGTGAGAAACGAGGGAAATCTGACCCAAGAAGGTTTGACTCCCGAGTACGAAAAGAGTGTTACGGAAACGGTCGAGACTCGAATCGCGGTAGGGTCCAAAATGTCGTCCAAAGTGTCGGTGGAGGTGCCGTTGGTAGCTTCGGCCGAGGTCGGTTTGGAACTTTCCGAGGAGTGGTCTAAGACGAATACCAAAAGCTGGACGGAGACGATTAGGGCGCCGGCGCAAAAAGTGATTGTGGGGCCGGAATCCCAAGTGCACGCCAAATGGTCTCTGTACGAATTCACTCGAGTTTACACGTATGGCGTTAGTTTTGAAATTGATGGAGGTTTAAGTGATAACGTCCTTAGCGCGACGTATAAGCGCCTTGCGGAATGGAAACGGAGAGGTTTACTAAAGGCGAATTTTAACGATGGAAATGGAATTTGGCTTGAACTTACGGACGATGAGAGAGCTATCCTCCATAATATTCCTATGACGGAGGTGGCTACCGGTCATGAGGTCGACTACGAAATCGGCAGGGCTGAGCCCCTAAACTCACCTTTGTCCAGCGATGTTTTCGTCTATAACTTAAAGCCTATTCATTAGGCTCTCTTAAGTCGGTTAAGTTTCTTTTTTAATATTTCAAGATGAAAAAAAAAAAAATGTAAATGCATTGTGGGTTACGAGATTTGTTTGTGAACGGAATTACATTTTTCTCAACAGGTACATTGTTTGGTGAATTCGGTATTTTACCACCTAATGCAGTTTTCTTTTTGTAAAAAAGAAATTCAGGAAGTTCCTGTTCAATTATTTTGGATACTTTCATAGGAAATTTTTTCCAGCTCAATTGCCAGTTTTTCAATTGTCTTTAAATGTTTCAGATGAAAAATAAAAACATCATACCATAAAATTATTCCCCTTCCTTCTTCTTTTAAAATAACTTTGTTTAACCCAGTTAGCGCAAAAAAACACGTTCTAGTAAATTCAGCATTGGTTTTCTATAAATCAAAAGAATTAAGCAATATTTCGCGAAAGTCAAATTTAATTGAAATGGCATATTTTTGCTTCACTTTATTACCTGTAAACGGATTTTTTCTGGTCCCCTAGCAGAATCAGAAAAAAATGTGCTGTACGATCAAAAAATGTTCTTCTTGTGCTTAAATTTGAAAATTGAAATTCTAATAATTCGCAAACGCACACGTTTCTTACAACGAACATTAGAATTGACAACGAACGAGCTGGACTTGAAAATATATAGTTTGTGCATTCAGGGTTATCCAAAAGTCCCTTACCACCCCTGTAACTTTTTTCCTGATTGAGAGAGAAATTTGAAACCGTGGGAAATTTCCTAGGTCCAAAGCAAAAAGTTTCTCGCCCTTCCAAACCACCTGGACCGTCTCCTAATAGGGACGAGGAAACTGTTTTTTTATTAATTGGCAACCCGCCCCCCTCTTTTTTGTACCGAGAGTATGTGCTTATCACCATGACCACTTTTTTACGGTAAGGAAGCAACATTCACGACTGGAAACATTTGAAAGTAGTTGTGTTTGGAGAACAAAGACAGAGTTTGACCCAGAGAGAGGCAAGTTCTCACACTGTCATCAGCAATCCCTCTCGAGCCACGCATAATGAGAAGGCGTCACCAGCCGTGTAATTTTCTACTTAAGCGCGAGTCTCTTTCCTGATTAAATTATGAAGTGCGTTTATCCTGGGGCAGTTAAATCTATCCCGCCCAGACAATGAAGATTTATTACGCACGGAGGGAAGGAGTCAACCCACATTTATCCACTCAGCAGAGATTCTCGGAAATAGGCAACACTGTTCAAAGTTGTTCCTTTGCACTACGGAGGACGGCTCGATATAGTCGATCGATCAATCGATAATTTCTAGATTTTAGGACGATTCTTAAAAATTTCCAGGCATCATATCACGCCAGCTGTAGTATTTTGACGCAAAATTCGGCCACGAAACATTTTGAAATGACTTTGAAAGAACATTCCGAGTGAATATTCCGTGTTTTCCCTTTCGATTTATGATATTCACTCAGACGCAGTAGCGATTCTTGCATATTGGTAACACGCTGTTTATCCTCCACTTAAATGTATGTAAAACAATCGATTCATAGTGAGAAAGCTTGTCTCGGCCAAGTCGATATTTTTAATGGACTGAAATGGAAGAAAAACAGTGTTAACAGCTTGCAAAAGTGTAACTGTCAGGACGTTCTTTTGAAGCCTTTTATTTTTTTTAATTTTATAAATTTATGCATTTCACGAGTCTATAATTTTGTATTTTGTTTCAGAAGAATCAGAAGCTCGGATCGTGTTGATGCTAATGCTCGTTATGATGAGTTCAGCTGGTCTCGGTCTGGTGGTATGGTGGTTCTTCCCAAAATTAAAGCCTGCGTCCAGATTCCAACCATCCAGTAAGTATTAACCCTGGAATGAACCAGTAGATAAGTTTGAAGTACCTTCACATCGTCGCTCCTCTGAGCTGAAGCCGTATCTCTGTTCCCACATGAGCCCCGGAAGCATAGAGTTATTCACGGAGAAAAAAAAACTTCGTGCATGGGACCCGAAGTTGAGGTCATATGGATCTATGAAGTTTTCTGATCACGCATCCGCTTGAGGTCGAGCTGCCGAAGTTCGAGTCAGACATCGAGGCACTTCGATATGTTCCGGATGTCTGACCCGAACTCTTCGGTGTATATCGAAGTACTTCAGATGTCTGACCCAAACTTCGGCAGCTGGACCTCAAATGTTTAGACACGAGATTCAAAAACTTCAGAAATCCATATGACCTCAACTTCGGGTCCCACGCACCAAGTTTTTTCTCCGTGTGCGGAGGACGGGGCCCACGTGGAAATTGAGATATGTCTTTACGTCAAAGGAGCGACGATATGGCAGGATCAATTTCTGATTGGCTCATTGTCAGCCATTTTCGGCGCCTTATATAAAGCTCATGGGCTAAACAAAAATGGCACACATTGCATACAGGTAAAACTGCAGAAAAGGAGGCTTTATTGTATGGACTTTCTCACTCAGGAATGAAACCGATTTTGAGTATTACATTTCTTATACCCTGGATAGTGTTTAATCCACTAAGAGGGTTTTTTGTCCAAATTCAGCCTGATTACAACAGTTTATGCAACCTGCCTCTCTTCCCTTAACTTATTGCTTAAATTTTTCCCTTACTGCTTAGAAGTAAGTATGTAAGTAAAGGCTGGGCTGACCGGCTGAGGCGCCCCTCAGGGACCAATAAAATTAAGGCAACTGTCAGCTGCCGTCGGCATAACTGCTAAGTGAGGAGGCGGACTCTGAAGAATAAAAAACTTATTTCAAGGGTTCTTCAATGAAAATGCAAATGAGGCTTGCAATGCTGTTTTGAGTGTGTACTTTGATAGTTTTTTATCCATGACTGATCCATTCAAAAGCGCTACAATGCATTTTCTTGCGTTCGCTGTTTTGTTTTTCATTTTTTTTTCGTGAAAATTATTTGACCATGAATAAATTTCGCTCTCTGCAATCTAACTTTACGCATAATGACACCATGCTGCAAGCTTTGCAAGCCGCACGCACCCTTTTACTGAAGAGGTCTCGTTCAATGAACGAGAGAAGAATATCTGATGGCGCATGCAGTTACCAGGCCCCTTCGGCCCAGCCTAAGATGACCGGAGTGAATTTCAATTTTAACCGAGTTTCCAGCGCGCATGTAACCTGTGTAGAAAGCGCTTTCATTTTTTATGTCATTGGCAATTAAAATCGAAAAATTGGCGCAGCCGGGAGAAAAATGAGCCGTGGAACTTTCACGGTTACTTGCACTTTCGGCGATTACCAAAACCCCGTCCGAGAAGAGCGGACGCCGACCGAGCAATTACATCTCAAACCTGTTCGGATTTTATAGCAGCAGTTATTTAGAATAGTTTCGTTTTAGCGGCGCGTTAATTATTTCGCATCATTTCGTGTTTATAGTGTACGCAGTGGCGGTTCTAGAAGAAGGGTCCCCCCCCTCCTTGGTTAAAACAAACAAAAGAGAGAAAGGAAATACGGTAAAGAGAGAATCATGAGAAAAGGAATAACGGAAAGGAGGAAACATTCATTAATTTTAGTCTTGATAAGATGTCAAGTTTGTGCAAAAATATTCTTACCATTACCGATACGATAATGATTTGGCTTTAATATTTTAGTAAATTCTTTTCAGGTCAAAATTATTTCGCGATTAATCTCTGCTGCCTTTTCGTCCTTGTTTGCCTTTTTGCGCTGCTCTGTTTTTCCGAGGCGGAGGACGTTAAAACATATGGCAAAAAAAGTGAAGTTTTTTTTTTAATTCTACGAGATGAATTCCTTGTTCTGCATGGCAAATTTCCAAAAATTTCGATCCGCAGGGATTCATCTTGAAAATTTACCGGAGGGGCCGGGGCTTTCAAATCGGCCCACTGCGGCCGGGGGGGGGAGGAGGGGCTGGAAATACTTACCAAGGGTTGAAAATGAACAATTTCAACGAATTTTGAGTAAAGTTCAACAGAATAACTTCGGTAAAAGATCCTTGCAGAGGATACAAAGGATCGGATGCTGTAAAAAATGAACATCTAGAGGGAAACGTTTCGTTATTTAGAAACTGCAAAAAGATTGAGGAGTCAATGAGGACGCATTTTACAAAGTACCAACCCTTCCTGAAGTTTTCAAATCTGCGAAAAACTTTTATATCGTATTCTAAATTTTCTGTGGAGACAAATCATCGTCACCATTTGCAAGGATCTATTTTCAAATTCATGCTGTTGGATTTTGCTTGGGATTCGCTAAAATTTTCCCCTTATATGATACTATGTTAAGGATCTCCATAAAATTTCCATACTCACAACATAAACCGTTCAACGGACTGATTATTGAAATTGATAGACAAAGCAATAGACAAAGAAAACAAAAAGGATATGGATGGATCCTATTGGTGGAAGTGGATAGTTGCAATGGACAAAGGACGTAGGCAATAGACTAACTAACGGCAACCCACGAGAGACCCGATAGTTAGTCCATCATTTACCTCCTTAGTCCACATATAAGAACCACCCATTCCAACCAGTAGGATCGCTCTATACTCCTTACGTCTTCTGCATGTGTCTATACACTGGAAAAAAAACACATTGGATCTAGAGTCCAGACTCTTAAAAACACCGACAAGAAAAAATACTCTTGATTCAATCAGATTTTTGCTTAAATCAAAAGGAAATCCGCTCAAATTAAGAGGCTTGGTTCTTGATCTGAGCAAAAATCCGATTGAATCAAGAGTATTTTTTCTTGTCGATGTCCTTAAGAGTCTGGACTTTAGATCCAATGTGTGTGTGTTTTTTTTTGTTTTTTGTTTGTTTTTGTTTGTTTTTTTTTTTTGTTTTTTTTTTTCCAGTGTAGCTTTGTCTATAAATTTCAATAATCGGTCCGTCGGGCATCCTAAAGAGAGGAGCTGCTTAAGGAACGACAATGAGTACCTAGACCCTTAAGGTCCTCAGACAGAAGCAATGGCCCCCCTTTGAAGTCTCCGTCTCCAACGCATTCCCGTATTCGCGAGCGAGAGTGCCACTTAAGCCTAGAGCGAGACTTGCAAGAAGAATATGAGCTGCACGATGGTCACGAAATGCATTATCACGGCCCGACTCAGCATAGATTCGCTTATCGTTCGCATCGACAATTAACCCAATTCGATGGAAAAATCAACGAAAATTCCAATTAGGTCCCTTTATATTGTCTCAGTATTTGGTCAACGGAACCGTTTTTCGATGCGCTATCCGGGGTTGCCGATCTGTGATTGAAATTGTCTAGATTTAATTTCACGTGGTCACCATCCACGGGGGGAGAGACCACGAAATACGAGAGCAACTTTTTCAGGAGGAAGATCTCTTTTATGGATGGTCGACAAACTGGAATTTCACTCTCTGACAAATGATTCTGCTAGCTGTTCATTTTTCTGTCTTTGGTGTCTTTTTTATTCGAGCGTTAAAGTCTCTTGAAATATCGTCGCTCCTCTGACGTGAGGGCGTATCTCTTTTCTGATATGAGCCTCGGAAAGCATAGAGTTATATAGAGAGCAGGGCTCACGTGGAAATCGAGATACGCCCTTACACCAGACGAGAGACAAAATATGTTAAATAGAGTGCTGGTTGGTGAAAGACTACCTAAGAAGTAGTACAGTTCCTCCTTTAAACCTCTTTCCGTACGTCAAAGAAGAAAGGAAGTTCTTTTTAAAACTCAATTTCAGTTTGCTCAACATAAAATATGTTATCAATGGCCGCCTCAATATATTCTATTTTTGCTCTTCCCAGAGCGAACAGTTTCAATAATTTGTTTACATTAATGCAAGAGCTATACACTAATCTCTTATATTTAGTTTAATTTCAGAATTTTTGAACATGTTTAACGAATTCTAAGTGCAATAAGTAATTATTAATGGTGTGTTGTCCATCGTCGGCATTGGACGCCCCTAATGCGACAAAAAGACAACGTTGAATTTGAGGAGAAAAAAGTTCTCAATATCTTGAAATCTGATACAAAAAAATTCGAATTTCATCACGAGAAGTCCACCCTCTTCAAATCCCTTCAAAATGGCAACGGCGCGTTATCTCTCTGAAATCTCGCACGATCCAGTCTTGTCATAATTTGCTAAACATGTAAGGTCAAAGGGCCCTCGTTGTAGTCGGGTCGCCGCGGCGCATAAGCGACACGTACGCCATTTTGCCACGTACCGAGAAAACCCGACAATTTTGCCCGCGAACACGCGAAATATTTTCAGCTGCCGGGTCCGATTTGCCAACCCTGATAGATGCACACTCATTTTAGTAAAGTTGATTATTATTGGTCAACTCCTTTATGTAGGAGTAATGAATGATGATGAGTTTATAATGATATGTGGGGAAATGAGTAAAATCCTCAACGGCACCATGAAAAATTACGAGGGAACTTGCATCGGTAGAAAAAATCTTTGTTAAAATAAATTACAGCTTGATTAAGGGATGGGTCTTAGATATTATGCGATGTCAAAATGTTGGGTCACAGTTTTTCTGGATATGCATCTTTCAAAGAGAAGATTTGCAATTGTAATAGAATCATGCTTTAGTTTTTAAATAAATCGTTTCGCAAAAATTATAGGTTAGAGCCGTCCAAACACGTTTTTCTAGATCCACATATCATAGAAGAGTATGCTTGTATTTGATCTTATTAAGTGTTATTATTATGTGTAAGTTGGAATTTTTGGCTTTGTTTTCCCCGCGAAATGGTGTGGACCTAGCCACTGGTGTGGCGTGAATGATCGACTATCGATATCTCTCCATTTGAAGCTATGGTTAAAAATTGATTATTAAGGTGTTCGTTGCGAACATCCTGTCTATCGATCCTGTTCAATTGGTTTAAATGGCAGATGAATAGATACATCGCAAAGCACGCCACGCCACTGCCCAGCACCATTCCTCCACCTTGTTACTTATCCGTCTAATCTAGAATAATCTAAGTAATGTAGTTCTGGCAGGGTGGCAAAATTTCATGAAAAATAAAATCTTGAAATTTCACGTGAAATATTTCACGAAATTTCAGAAATGTATGAAAGATATTGAAAAATACAAGTTCCTTTTCATGTTTCGGAGGTTGTAAAAATCGTGATTTTCTTCTATTTTCGGTTGTTTGAGTGCGGGTTGCATACTCTGGCCCCTGAAAAATATGAAATATTCCACAGCCTCGTGAGATTTCATGAAATATTTCACTGAAATTTCCAATCTTTCATTTCTTTCTTACGTTTCATGCCACATTTTCTAGTATCCCCCCCCCCCCCNGGGTTGTCTATTATCAACAGTGGAAAAACAAGGATTAAAAAACGGGAAACAAGACTAGAAATACACAAATAATGAAACCCGAGACGTTTTGATTCAAAACTTAGTCATTTTCAGTCGGAAACAATACAAATTTAAAAGAAAAAACGATAAAAAGCTTTTTCTTTCTTTCTTTTCTTTTTTTTTCTATCTCTCTGATCCCGGCCGCCACCATGTGGGGCTCAGGTTTTTATCGTTTTTTCTTTTGAATTTTTATTGTTTCCGACTGAAAATGACTCAGTTTTGAGTCGAAACGTCTCGAGTTTCATTCTTTGTGTATTTTTAGCCTTGTTTCCCGTGTTTTCATCCTTGTTTTTCCACTGTTATCATTGTCTTGGGCTGCTCTTAAAAATTTATGTATTTATCAACCAACTGAATTTCCTTTTTTCCAGGTTCCTCGATATCCTCGGACGACACAGTCTCCTGCTTCGACAACGACGCCTACTTCCTCCGCGAGCGGGACGACCTGTCCATCGCCGAGTCCAACTTCGCGGCGGCCCTCGAGGACGACAACCCCGGCCCGGCCCCTCCGCCTCCACCCCCGCCCATCGCCGGGGGCCACCCCCGCCATCACGCCCTCCGGCAAGGGGTCTGCAACGAGGTGCTCATCCACCAGATCCTCACCTCCCCCCGGCCCGCCACCCTCAACCAGACCAAGATATCCATCGGAGAGCCCTCCCAGTCCGAGGCTTGAGATCATTTCGCAAATTGAAAACGAGATGATTTTTATCACATTTTATAAAATCCTTCAGCATGATTATTGAAATTGATAGACAAAGCTATAGACAAAGAAGACGAGAGGGGTATGGAGGGATCTTATCGGTGGAAGAGGGTGGTTGCAATAGACAAAGGAGGTAGACTAACTAACGGCAACCCACGAGAGACCCTATAGTTAGTTGATCACTTTCTAACCAATAGGATCGATCGATACTCCCTATGTCTTCTTTGTCTATCGCTTTGTCTATCAGTTTCAATGATCAGCCCGCCGTCCTCCATTTGAACGCATTGTTGAAATTGATAGGCAAAGCGATAGACAAAGAGGGAGGTCCCGGATTNAATTTTTATTGTTTCCGACTGAAAATGACTCAGTTTTGAGTCGAAACGTCTCGAGTTTCATTCTTTGTGTATTTTTAGCCTTGTTTACCGTTTTTTCATCCTTGTTTTTCCACTGTTATCATTGTCTTGGGCTGCTCTTAAAAATTTATGTATTTATCAACCAACTGAATTTCCTTTTTTCCAGGTTCCTCGATATCCTCGGACGACACAGTCTCCTGCTTCGACAACGACGCCTACTTCCTCCGCGAGCGGGACGACCTGTCCATCGCCGAGTCCAACTTCGCGGCGGCCCTCGAGGACGACAACCCCGGCCCGGCCCCTCCGCCTCCACCCCCGCCCATCGCCGGGGGCCACCCCCGCCATCACGCCCTCCGGCAAGGGGTCTGCAACGAGGTGCTCATCCACCAGATCCTCACCTCCCCCCGGCCCGCCACCCTCAACCAGACCAAGATATCCATCGGAGAGCCCTCCCAGTCCGAGGCTTGAGATCATTTCGCAAATTGAAAACGAGATGATTTTTATCACATTTTATAAAATCCTTCAGCATGATTATTGAAATTGATAGACAAAGCTATAGACAAAGAAGACGAGAGGGGGTATGGAGGGATCCTATCGGTGGAAGCGGGTGGTTGCAATAGACAAAGGAGGTAGGTAATAGACTGACTATCACGGAAAAAAATAGGGTCGTCGACACAACCAGAAGGTAGTTAAAAATGCGCCAGCTACCGTGCGGTAGTTACGATAACTACCGCACGCCACGAGAGACCCTATAGTTAGTCCATCATTTTCTAACCAATAGGATCGATCAATACTCCCTATGTCTTCTTTGTCTATAGCTTTGTCTATCAATTTCAATGATCAGCCCGCCGTCTTCCATTTGAACGCATTGTTGAAATTGATAGGCAAAGCGATAGACAAAGAGGGAGGTCCCGGGTTCGATTCTCGGGCATGTGACCCAAGTTTGATGGTCTCGAACAACGGTTACTTGGGACTGGCATGAATAGGGACTTGGAGGGGGGAGGGACTTTAGGGACTGCGAGTGCAAATTTTTGAAGTGAAAAGGAAGAGGACAAAGAGAACACGGAGTGATCCTATCCAAGGATGCGATTTTTCATGAAAAAGAAAATATTAAAATTTTGTGTGAGATATTTCATGAAATTTCGGAAAAATATGAAAGCTATTGAAAAATATTTTTCGAAATTGAATGCAGAATTACATGAAAGCCGGGTGGTTTTTGCCTTTTGGAGTTTTTTAATGCGTTTTGCATATCCAGCCCCTTAAAGTACGTTCATGTGTTTCACAACTTTGTGAAATTTCATGAATTTACACCATGAAAATTCCAATCTTTCATATATTTTATTTAACTTGAGCAACACTGATCCTATCGGTGGAAGCGGGCGGTTGCCATGGACAAAGATGGTAGGCATTAGACTAACCAACTCCAACCCACGAGAGACCCTTTATTTATTGGCATTAACCCCTTTAGACTAATGGCCCCCGTCAAGCGATAGGATTGCTCCATTTCCCCTTTGTCTATCAATTTCAATAATCAGCCTACAGGGTTTGAAATTGCTGGATAACGATGCAACTTTACACCTTCAATTCAGAAATTTTTTCACCAAACTCTCAGAACACGATTTTCAACAAAGATTGTTCTACTGAATATTTTGCCTCCGTAAAACGAGGGTAATTTTCCCCGTAGACAATCATTTTCGAAGCTGCTTTGTCGCCGATTTCTGGATATTATGGAAATCTGTTCAAAAATTCTCTAAAACCAACTTGGTAAGCAAATACAATTTTAAGGAGTCTAATGAGAGGACAAAATCTCTCTTGTTGACCTTTTGTCGATGCCGAAGTGCTTTGATGACAAATGGACCATTCATGGAATTAAATGAAACATGCAAACCCTACATAACCGAAGTTCCTTTTGACTCAGTTCAATTGCATGTGTCGTAATTTGCAATCTTCTTGTGTTGAAAAAATTAAAATTCAGATGTATTGTAACAAGATAGAATGTACTGATTATTGTGTTTCAAAGACTCCTCGTTGATCAAATGATGCATCTCCTTTATTATTCCACTAAGAACTTTTTTCTGTTTCCAATTTGAATTCGATGGGATAATTCTTGCATTCCTCACAAATTGTGGAAAAAAGGTTACAATATAAGCGAGCAACAATTTTTTCAAAACAGATATCGATTAATTGAGCTGGGCAATTATTTGTAGTTTAATTCTTAAAGGTGATATTTTAGGTTTAAGTATTCTATTCGTATCAAGATACTGTTCACAAACCTCTACTACTGATAGATTTAATTGAGGTTTTCTTACTTTTATGCGTCCTAACTTCTAAAATATGACTAATGGCACGCGTAAGTGCGTAAGTGTTCACAAATTAAACAACAAATCAACTTGTTGTGATGACTATGTTTTAAATGTTGATGTAACTGTTCAACGGTCATGTTTCTCAATTTATTTGTTTCAATTTAATAATAGGTAATCGTCTGATAATGACAAAAACGTGTGTATTCTATTGTAAATAAATTTATGTACTGAAACCTGGTTTTTTCTTCTCTCGACACATATTTCCATAGTTTTGAAGAGAAAAATGTTGACATATGACAATATGTAATGTCTTTTTGGTAGAATTGAAGTTGGATGTGTGAGGATTAAGAAAATGTCAACCACCCAGAGCATTTTGCGTTTCAAGCGAGAAATCTTTATTTGAAGTTGACGTCTTTTTCCCGTATATTTCTTATGGACTAATGATTCTCGACCCATTTCCCATCCACTTTCTACCCAACTTTGAAGTAGTTTTGAGAAAAAATTTAATGAACCATCATTGTGAGTCAGAAATATATTTAAGATGACAAACTCAAAAAAAAAATAATATTCAGATGTCGAGTTGTGAATTTTTTATTTTTGTCCAAAGAGGGCCGCAGGCCACACCGTGCGCGTGCCGATCCGGGCGCGGGTGGCATAGGGTGGACCGTTTTTGAACTTTTTTCGAAATTCCAAGACGGCTAGTGCTAAAAAGTTGTGTTTTGGCATAAAAATAACGCTCAATTTTATTCAGAATTTTTGGATGATGTCCTGAGCCCGTCCCGACGCCATCTTTGTTGCCAAATTTTCGATTTTTTCGAGAAATTTTAAAGACTCTGTTTAAGGCCCGGGAAACGCGTAGAATTAATCAAATTTCAATTTAAAATACTTTGAAATTCATTTCAAGCGATACAGGTCAGGATAGGACACCCCCAACGCGCAGAGAATGCCTTAGGGGACGCAATCATGGACCCCGAAATCCCTTAAAAATGCGCTTAAATACTACCTATATTTTATGTTAATTTTCATTGATTCTATTTTGCTCATACTTTGTGTTATAACTAACAAAACTTATGAGTAGACTATGTCCTACTATTTTACGGCTTACGATGTGGAATTAGGGTGCAAAGGAGTGCTACAGGGATGCCATATCCCTCAGTAATGAAAAAATAACCACCGGGCTAGAATAGGCCTCTGATCCGTGGATATCACTGGAGTAATGTTCCTGTCACCTGAACTGAGTACTTCTTAGTACAGTATGCTCAGACTGATGGTAAGATATAATACAATTCAACACATTAGTAGTTCAATCTGGCAGCAGTGGGTGGCGGTTTCCATGCGTTTCGCGGATCCTAGAGGAACTAAGTTAACTACCCTCGTAGGGTGTTCCGTTTTGAGGCGACCATCTCAAAACCTTGCTCCCCGTGCTTTTTCTCATTCCTTTTTGTCCCCAAAAGATAATTCTGTTGTCTCAGCATATTATCTGAAGTCTATATATTCCCCCAAAGCTGTATTAAAATTTCGGAAGAAATCACATTGGTTTAAATAGAAAGAAAATGGGTCGATCCGCGGAACTGCGTTTTCCGGCTATAAAATGCGTCCAAATTATTCCAAACCTAGGCATGTCTTCGGAAGACACCCTGTAGCCTATTTTAAACGAGAAAATTTCATTTTTGACTCAGGGGTTGGGGTAGGGTGGATCAAGGCACAGTTAGTTTTGAAGCGCTGCGCCCAGCAAACTTATCGTATTTGACAGTATTTCATCAACCTCAAAGGAGGTCCTCCAAGGTAGAGGAGACTAATATATCTCACAACGTGTAAGAAAATAATAGATGTTTTTAGCCCTTAAGAACTATTTTCGACAATTTACACTGTTGCCAAATTTACTCGAGCCCGGGAGAAAATTAGTGTATTTTTTGTTCTGTATTTGAGTGCTTATGGCAACAGTGTAAATTGTCAAAAACAGTTTTTAAGGACTTAAAAAAACTATTGTATATTATTTGCTAACACAATGTGAGATACATTAGCCTCCTCAATCTCGGCATACCTGTTTTGAGGTTGATGAAAAACTGTCAAATACAATAATTTTTCTGCGCTCAGCGCCTTAAAAAACCGGCACCGTGACCCACCCTCCGATCCGCGAAGCGCATGGAAACCGCCACCCACTACTACCAGATTGAACTACTTATGTGTTCAATTGTATTATATCTTACCATCAGTCTGAGCATACTGTACTATGAAGTACTCAGTTCAGGTGACAGGAACATTACTCCAGTGATATCCACGGATCAGAGGCCTATTCTAGCCCGGTGGTTATTTTTTCATTACTGAGGGATATGGCATCCCTGTAGCACTCCTTTGCACCCTAATTCCACATCGTAAGCCGTAAAATAGTAGGACATAGTCTACTCATAAGTTTTGTTAGTTATAACACAAAGTATGAGCAAAA